AGCAAAAAATTTGAACATTATTTTGATTAGCATTAATTTTTAATGTGCAAATGGCTGTATATGTAGTATTGTTGAAAGTTGTCACTGTTGTGCAGAAATATTAGTTACATTATAGATTAAAATTGCAACTTTGTGGAACTCCTTCAGTCTTGGTGAGCACAATTAACATTGTGTCATTGCATCAATTGGTTTATTTACCTATAAGCCCTAGCTTCTTATAGTTGAGCCACATTGCCTGATTGATGGTAACCTGACTGTGCATAGTCTTTTTTAACAGGTTCCACCTGTCTTTTTTTGTACTCTTATTTCTGCTGCTTGCATAGCCTGGCCTTAGCATAGATTTAGTATGCTTGTACCCTGTTTATTTTTAATGTAGTTTTGTTTATTTTTAATATAGTTTTACTTGTTTATTTTTATTGCCTTACAAATTAACTCTTCACATGCTATATACTATAATTTCTCAAGTTAAAGAAAGTCCTCATTAATTTATGCATAGAATTTTTTATATGCCACAAGCCAGACCATTCCCTAGCCTATATTCATGTGTGTACATATGCTTCATATGTACGCATGGTATCTCTCTCTAAGCACGTCACAGAGGCCACATGATGTGTGCTACAACTGAAAGTGCCTGGCATAATGCAGGAGTTGAAATGTGACTGTCTTAAATCTTACATTATGCTTGTGTTTACGTTGTTGAAGTTTAGAAGTATACTAGACCAGACAGAGGCAAGCACTTTGCTTCAAACACATCTAAAGCACCTATAAAAATGCTTAAGCACAAGCACAAGCACTAATGCTGTAATTTAAAATGTGCTTCAAGCAGTACCTAAAGCACTGTTAAAAGTGCTTAAAGTGCAAGTAAAGCGCTCAATCTATAAGTTAAGGCAATACAGTACTCAATTGTCATGCACTATTTCATGATTGTCATTGCTTCTTTCTGTCCTCTCTACCTCACTGAATATACTTATTTATTTTTCCTTTTTCTTGTCCTTTCCTCAGTTTTTAATGATGGTCAATGGTCAGTGGATTCAGTATTAGATTCATTTAATATTCCTTTATTGTATAAACTAATACTAAAAGAAATAAGAAAGGAATTGAATGAATACATGACAGATAAAGAGAAGGAGCTTCAAGTTATCATTGAGTCTTTACGTCATGATCTACAAGTGGCTAGAATTAACAACCAATCACTTCAGGAAGCACTACTGGAGACTCAATCACTATCAGGTAGAAGTATATTAACTTCTGTTTAAATACATGCATGTAACTGTACATTGTACAAAGATAGTTATAGTTTGAATTTTGATTGATGATTTTAAAATTAGTAAATACAATTGCCAATATTAAAATCTGGTTTTGTATATTTTTATTAATCAATTTTTATTCTACTATTTCTAATTAAGAGAAAACAATGGCAAAATTAGAAACAGAACTGTTAGAAACTAAGACTAAATGAAAGAGAGATCAAGAGCACTTACCATACTCAGATTAGATAGAATAACACATTGACTTCAATATTAAGAGTTAAACTTCTATTATGAACTCTGCAATATAAGGGTAACTTGGCAACATAACTTTTGCATAGGCTGCACGGGCCCCCTAAGCTTTCATTGCACAAATTATAAGTCAGTGGTGTCCAACTGAACCTTTGATGTTGAGAATAAGAATTTTAATTTTTTCAGATAATTCTATAAGAAGATCAAAACTGATGAACCAGAGGAATCATTGAAGGAGAAACAAATAATGACTGGTTAGTGTATCATCAGCACATAATATTAGATGAGAGAATATTCTATTAATGTAGGAGAATATGAGAAACTTAAAGCTATAGTTGCTGATAAAGAAGTATATATAACTAAACTATTAAAACAGAAGACACAAGTAGAGGAACAAAAGCAGTTAATTATTGGTAGGTTAATAATTCACGACATGTTTTGAATGTGAGAATATGTTATTCTGTAGATGATCTCAAAACTAAAATATCAGAGAAAGATGCATATATATCTAAACTATTGAAGGACAAATCACAACAACAGGAGAGGATCACATCCCAAGAGGAACAATCAATCAAAGAGACTAGTTCTGTTGAAGTTCAATTCAACTACTTAATATCAATGGGTAAGAGATACCACTAGTCTAGTATTATTGTCCAATTCAGTTGAAGCAAGAGTTTGAAGTAAAATGATTACTTGATTACTTGTTGCTTTGTTGAAAATTTAAAGTCAATTTCAATATTTTGAACATTGTAGTTAGTTTTGAGTTATGCATGGCAGTTAAAGAAAAATCAACAATTTTTACTGTATTTTTAATACCCTTATTCTATTGTAGTGTAAATGTGGAAATTTTTTTAGTATGCCAGTAGTGAGTGCTGACCGTCTGACAATATTATACTCAAAATTTTGTGTGTAAAAATATTTTAACACTTTTTTATACAGTAACTATTCTTGTCATTTTATGCAGATGATTTGAAGGGTCTCCAGATATTTGAGAATCAATCTTTTTTGGTTAAAGGTGACAAGCATCAATCAATTAATTGGCAGAAGTATGGATT